CCGCCAGAGGCCTCCCCCCCGGACACCGGCCGCGCCCGGCCGCGGGGCGGTCTCCCCCTGCCCGCGGGGGGAGCGGCACCGGCCCCGGCTCCGGTCCCGGCCGCGCCGCCCTCTCTCGGCACCCCGCGGGGCAGCGGGGCAGCGGGGCCGGGGTCCACCCCGGCGGCGACGCGGGCTCAGGGCTCCGCTCCCTGAGGACAAGGTCAAGGATGAAGGGTCAATGTCAAGTTGTCTTAACGGCGGAAGGCGACCGGCCACGGCAGCGCTCCTCGCTTTCCGCCTTTCTGGTGTCCTTGATTGATTCGAAAGTGCCATTTTGCGGGGGAAACGCACCCGGCCACCGAGAAGACGCCAGGGCTTCGCTTTTCCTTCAAAGGGTGAAGAAGGGACGATGGTACCGTACGGATTTGTCATTGCCGTTCTGCCTAACAGCATTTAATGTCTTAAAACTGCTTTAATGGCCGGATTGCTTTAAGTTTCAGGGACCCTGGGAAGGCTGAACTCAGCCAAAGCGAAGCCTCCGAGAGGTAAGATGCAATGTCATGGCTCCCTGATAAGCATACGTAACCTATCGGTCGCAGAGGCAACCCGCCTGTCTGTTTTCTGCGTGGACGCTACGGGAAAGTGAATTTGAATGTAAACACGCGTGAGGCAGCTCGGGGAGGCGCGTTAGTGAGGGAACCTGGCTGGCAGCGACACCAGCTCCTCCCGCAGTGCCCTGCGGGGGAAACCTGCCGCCGGCAGCCGGGCAGGGGCAGGGGGTGGCCGGGGCCTGACTGACAGCCGCCGCCGCCAGAGACAGAAGCAGTTTCACAGGGATGAACCTGCAAGCCGGGCAGCCGAAGGCAGTCGGTATGGCTTCTGCATCTGGCTCTCCTTTCAACTTCGGTCGCTTCTTGCTTCGCGATTACGTTTTCCTGTACTGATTCCCCCACCCACACTTGTTTGCGAAAATACGAAGTAATGAACCGCCTGCACATGGAGCAGGGACAGCAGCTATGCTCAAATTATCAGCTGACCCCCACTCACGCTCCCACTAAAGGGGGAAGAAAGCGCGCATTTTTAAGGGCCTCATTATGATAATTCTCAGCCAGAAGTAATAGTGCTAACAGTTTCATAAACAAAAATATGAATGATAATTTCCCTCGAAGTTAACTCTAGAAATGTATGTATATAAATAACACCCATGTATTCAAATATAGTTGCTTTTCTGCATAAGGAAGGAATTTACATGCAAAACTTCGAATATTCAGCCAGACGGCTTATAAATGCCTTATTTCGTGACTAATCGGTGCCTAAAATCCGCAGGCTTTGGTGGTGTTACTTGTCGCTAACTTACTGCAGAACTAGTCCTGCAAGTCTTACAACAGTTCCCCATTATTTTTGTCGTTTTACAGTTCAGAATAAACCCCCCATCTTCTGTTAATCACGCCACCTAACAAAAATAATTAAGTAAAGTGTAGCCGGGGTGCTGCAGGCCTCCTGCAAATAAAGCTGCCTGGCCAGAAAATGCCGTCAATCCTCCTTCAGCGTGCAGGTCTGTCAAAAATGTTTCCAGAAAGCAGCACGTTAATCCTAATCATTTCCTCTCAAGAATGATAAAGACACTCCTCCTAAAACAGAAAGAATTGCCCTAGTCGGCTCCAAAATCAGCAGCCCAAAGACCTTCTGGGGGGAAGATATTATCGCCGGGCACTGCAAGGCGTAAAGTAAGCGAGTGTCCGCCGGGCTCTCGAATTTGTCTGACACTCGTTGGAGGGGAAGAAAAGCCCCCTGGGGTGGCTGGGAGTGAGGGGCTGCGAGAAGGAGAACGGAAACCTTCGCCGTGACTCGAACGTGAACTTCCCGCGATCTGGGGCACGTGCAGCTTGTCACCTTTTCTGCCCGTTCTGGATCAAATCCTTCCTGTTTTGATCTGATAGAGATGTCGTTATTTCAAACACGACCGTAAGAGACGTGAACACCGTGGAATTAATCTTGACAATATACCTATAGCTTCAGTTCGTGCCAGGAATTAATTGGCTTTAATCCAATTGCTAAAACTCGCTTTTCAGCCTTTATTATAGTTACTCTCTAGTAATGTGTGGGTGGATTTGTTTGTAATTTAGCATAGGCTGTCCCTGGCATTGCACCATACCTCGTACCTAGTTCAGAACTGTCTGTAACATCAAACTGAAAAAAAAAAAAAAAGGGCAGGCGTGAGAGCAATTACTTTATCATCCCTCCGCTCCGTGGTGGGGAGCTGGAATTGTTAAGCCAACGTCAGCGGGCAATAAAAACCTCTTGGCAAGCCCTGCCGACATAAACCCGAGCGGGAACACGATAAAATGTAAAATCCCACTTCTCTGACACCCTGGCTTTGCGTCGCAAGCGGCGTTTCAGCGTGGCCTCGCCCCGCCCGGAGACCCCGAACGACTCCGCCGCCGCCAGACAGCCGCCCCGGGCGCCCCGGAGCCCACGCTCCCCAGCAGCGACCGCCAACAGGCTTTAAACGATTCCCAGGAGTGTTTTTCTTGGGAACAGGGACCCTCCTGAAGGTACGGTTTCGCTTTTCATGCACCCCCGTCCGCACGCAGAGTGGGTTCCCCGTCTC